ACCGTAGATGGGGGCTGTGTTTGCCTAAGCCTGCTAGATGACTGGAACAGGTATGCTGTCCGTTTAATGTTGGGGAAAACATTTTATCTCCTTTCCGTCTTCAGTTGTTACAGTTTCCTCGACGTCATCAAGGCGGTCCTCTTTCTCCTCGCCAATCCAAATTTTGACAGTGCCAATAACTCATTCGGTTACTTATCCGCAGAGTATAGGGACAGTTTCGAAGAGGTGTGCAGGCAATTTCTTGCCGGATTTCCCATCAAGGGTGAGGTCTACCCGGCGAACGAGAAGTGGTGCGAGTGGGCCCGTGCAAACAACTGCTTTCCGGTGCCTAAGCGGAATCAGAGTGGAGAAGAATCGCAACCTCCCTCTCAGTCGACTCCGGATGTGAGTGAGACCATTTATTTTCTTCATTCCTACTTTCTGTTTCCTCGCTGTTTTCTTTCTTGACTCTGACAGTCGCCTTGGGCTAGGTTAGTGTGCGTGCGTGCTTGAAGTACAGCTAGTCTATGACGATGCCTGTCCATAATGGGGAATGTGTCATCGAAGAATGATTGTGAAGGAGGCAATCATTTGAGGACTTACCCCTGCCTCGGGATTTCACTTGCCTAAAAGTGTAAATCCCGTCTTCTTGAGGTTTTGAGGCACTTTATGCTATTGCTATTTTGCCTGCCATTTCTACGTGATTTCGATTCATGTGAGTCCCAAATGGTTTTGGATGGGTTGCCGCACTCCATTCCTTTCCACGTGCATAAACATTCACGAATGGGTGGCTATGTGCTCCTCAATTTGTTGCTCAAACCTCAATCAGTTCGCATATTGCTATTGCGAGTACCTTTTCGAAGTCGGTTCGCTGTCGTGCGAATACTCTCCGATAGCTGATTATGCGAGTTGTGCTTATTAGTATAGGAGGAGTACTTTTCTCCCTGTGTCATATGTTGCCAAGTAGAGTTCACGTTACAATGAACATAATTTATTCTTCGGTATCGTGTGGAATAAACTGTATTCAAAAGCAAAAAGAGGTCCCGTTATAGCTTTGTCTGGTGCGGCTTTGTTTATGCAACTTCCGTGTATACCTTGTTATATCTTAAAACCCAACTGAACCTCGTTCGCGTTTTTGAGCTGATTTTACCTGTCGCCCTCCTCACCTACTCGGCTGATTGTAAGGCGACTTAACTCAGAACAAAATCACTTTTTTTAGATGAGCAAAGCGTAAATGGCTGTAGACTAAATAATCGTGGTATAAAGGTGAGGGGTACAGGGCCGTTGCCCATTTACCGAATTTCCCTGAAATCATAAAATGCGGCCTTTTCTCTTCTGATCCACTGGAAGTACGCATTTTCAGATCACACCTTCCGATGGCCCAGCCACACCCCTGGCGGAACAGTTGAAGGCCAAAGTCGGAGCCAAGTTGTCAGATCCGGATGTGCCATCTGACCGCACGAGTTTTTCCACGCCTTCCACTTATGTCCCCTCTGTGGCCAATGTACGCTACTCACTCGGCACCTACTCCGATCAATTCGGTTCCATCTACACACTTGGTCGCAATAACTACCTACAAACCGTGCGCATCCTTCTGCATCAACAGGGAAACCGTGGTCCCCGTATTTTCTATTTTAGCGACTTCCTGGGTTGTTCATCGTGTCAGAAAAGCAGCGAACCCGTTTATTTTTGCAATCAGAGTGACCTAGAAACGCATGCAAAGGCCAGCTCCTTCATCCCCTGGGCCTCAGGTTACCGCAACTTTTGTGGGGGTGAACGATCTTCAAGCTACAGTCGTTCGCCATCTGTCAGCTGTATATCTGCCCTCTTCCGTATAAATGACGTTGCCCCAAACCCGCCCGAACTGTTCCCCGACTGTGGCGACTATGTGCTCTGCGCACTGTTCGCTGAGCCGCGCTCGAAGGCGAAACAAATGGAAGACGACCCATTAGATGGATCATTGACTTTGGAGGACTTTTTTAATCTGAAATGTGAAATTGATTGTGCATGTCCAATAGATGGCCATCAGTTGGTTGTCGAAGAAGGGGAAAGTGGTGAAGAGGAGATGGAGGAGGATGAATCCATCTCTGATGGGTCGCTTTCGAGTTGCAGCAGCGGACAAAATAACGACGGATTTGGAGAACCGAGAGAAGAGAAGGAGGACAAGAACGACGACGAGGAGGAGAATAATTACACAGAGCGTGCGGACGCGAGCGAAGGCAGAAGAGCATCGGAAGACTCGTTGAATTCCCTCTACGCCAGGCCAGAGGATGTCAATAATGCGTTAATTCGCCATTGTAGTGAGTGCCCTTGGAGTTACATTGAAGCAGCTGAGACCATGCAGGAGCTCACACCAAGCGAGTGGATCTTCTTTCAAACGAGGTGGCCGCCAGTCCTGGCTCCACAGGAAGTGATAGACTTGGAGAAGAATTACCCAGCTCGAATTCCTTCCTGGAGAGGTTCAACCCCCAGACTCGTTAAGGATGTAATAATTTTCTGTCGCCAACATCCCAAGTCGGATTGTTTGCTTCTGTTGGATCCGCTAGTAAGTAAATATTTTGCGAACAATTTACCTTTCTTTAGATGTATCTTTTAATCGATTTTATGTTTTACAGAAATGTATACTGACTTACGCTAGCCAGTTTTTGAATACATATGGTACTGAAGGGGGAGGGACCAGGTTTCTGTTCAATTCATCAGGGAAATATGGGTAAATACCTTTGAACTCCCTCTTTGTACATAGCTATGATGCAGAACATGTGGCGTTGCCAGTAGTGGAACTGCGGTAGGGGGGGCAGACAGTAAAAAAACTCCTTAGGCATCTTTAATGAGTCTAGTTTTGAATGCCATTTGTGGGATTTTAAGGAGAAAAGCTGTCGCCTGTGGGAGGGGGGAAGGCGAGGGGTATATGTAAATCGGAGATCCTGCTGCTGAAAGTGTTTGGATCATGTCAGGAGGAGGCCATCGCGGTTGTTCAATATCCTAATGGTCACACGAGGAGAAGATTGCGGTGGTCACGAGAACATCACCGAGCGTCGGAGATGCGCCCATCATACGCCCTTGCTGGTTACCGGGTTTGCCGACCAGATGACGAAACACGGGATCAATCGTAATTCTAAACAAACATATCACTGAAAAGTAGCGAGCAGGATGTTTTTTTAAGGTAATTACTGCCAGAGAAGTCTGGTGGAAAATCTTACTTGCT